TAGCTAGTTTGGCACAGCATTCAAACAACTTCCCTTAAATAAGAGTCAGGGAAAGGATAAGGCTGTGATGATTAAGGATTAGCTTTGAATAATAAAGCAAAAGGCAGAATGAAAACTGCTGTATTGTTTCAGAGCAGGAGGGTTTTCCTTTATGGATTTTCCGTGTGCCCCCACTAGAAGTATTCAGCCAGTCACAATAACCATTACCCTTTCTTCTTATTTCAATTCTGATTGGCCAGTTTGGTCATGTAAAATCCTATACTATAAAAAAACATATACAGTGGTACCTCGGTTCTCGAACTTAATCTGTTCCGGACTACGGATCAAATCCTAAAAAGTTTGAGTTCTAATTTAATTTTTCCCATAAGAAATAATGGAAAACCAATTAATTGGTTCCCGGCCCCCCAAAATTACACCTAAATATGTTTTCTTTTTTTAAAAAAAATTTTTCTATTAAACAAGAAGAGCGTTTTTTTCTTAATGGTTTCCAAAACAATAGAGATCTTATCCCAACATTAACCCTGTCCTGCCCCGATCGTCCGCTCCTTCCGTGTGCCACGCCCCCTTTTTAAGTTTGTGTGGGATCCCCATGTGATCAGCTGTTTCTGGTTGTTGTCATTAGTCCTCTGTATTAAGTCCGCGTTTCAGTTTGTTTCCCCAGTCCGGTCATTGGATGCGTTCGACTTGCTTACAACGCTGGCTTAAAGCAACGCATTCTGATCCTGACACAATGCATTATGGTTAGATGCATTGCGACCTCTCACCCGGCTGCACAAACTGGAACCGCCTCCGTGATGACACACCTTTGTGTTGTTAGCTACTGTAATGTTGCGCTGCTTTATTTGGTTAATCGTCCAGTCTGTGAAGAAGGCATTCAAGTAAGAATTGCATTGTAGTATGACTCATTTCCTGGCGCGTACAATTTATTTTAGGTCAGCGTTCATGGTTCGACTTCTGATATTCAGATCGAGTTCTAGGTCAAACTGGTTTGTTCGACTTTCAAGAAATTCAAGTTCTAGTGAGTTCGGGAACCGAGGTACCACTGTATAAAACTACAGTAAAATCCCGCTATAGTAGACTCACTTATAACGGTATATCGTCTATAACAGACGAGGTCCGCTGGTCCCCAGGGCCGCTTTTAGCTGTAGTTTTGTTCGGACTGTTTTGCCAGGACTGATTGAAGTCTGTTACATCGCTTTTAGCTGTAGTTTTGTTCGGACTGTTTTGCCAGGTCCTTTGAAGTCTGTTATATCGGGATTTTACTGTATAAGACTGCTTTTCCCATGAATGAGAAAGGTCTGTTTTTAAGATATACTGCACATAAAGGAAAACCTTCCTTCTCTGATCCAGACATGAAGATAGGGCATGTGAGGTCAAATGACCCCAGATACATTGCTGTAGGCCACGCCCATAACTACCTGACACATGCCAAGCCAGATGTTGTCAGGAATGTTGTCTGTGGCGTTTTAAGACATGTCAGCTGACCTTTAACATTATCATCCAAGGAACTCGATCTGGAATTTGGACCTTTTCCAGTAAGATAATCAACCATTCACCTGTATACGAAAAGAATGTCTGGTGGTTGATTTCTTGGGGCAGCGTGGCTGGAAATCAACACCCAATTTACCCAGTGTGGTCTGTTTATGTTGTAGAGAGCAGGTGTACAGTGTAACAAAGACCAACCTCCGGCATAGATATCGTTTGGGTGTGTTTTATATATTATTATAAAAGAAATGCTCTGTCTTTTATCAGATTTGTTCACGCATCTGAGAGAGCCAGCGTGGGGCAGAATTACATCCTCAAATCCCCAGAACGTGCCAGACAGATTCCTCAGTGTGTCGCTGTGTGAAACCGGACTTCGTGCCGTGGTGTTTCATCATGGCTTAATTGGGCTTTGTGCATCATTCATAATAATTAACTTTAACTCTGTAAACATTGAGTGTGATTAACAAGGTCCTTATATGTCACATGATACAGCCCCCTGAGGAGAAAAAAAAGACATATGAATTGGAAGCATGGTTCAGGACACTATAAAAATTCTCAACAGCTGTTCTCTGACCTTTGCACCCTTTGAATTTCAAAGTGACCCGGTTCTTGACCAGCCACTTCTTCATTATCTTCTAAGCTGGTTATGGTGGTTCATTTGTAGTACGATCAAAGACTTAGAACCCACAACATTTAAACCTCAGTATGTCCCCTATTGCTGAACAACTAAAGTGCACCTGAAATGAAAATCTTTTTCATTCTCTGTAAAACAAATATTTAAAATACACCGAAATATAATGCTGGCATCATTGTACATGCTTGGAGGTGTACCTGTTTTGTGCTCTTTTTTCATCTGTCCATCTACCCATTTTAATTTTTCATAGTTTTTTTATTTTTCTTGCTGAAAATTGTGGCAGGTTGTCTGTATAGGCTCAGTGTAGAGAACACTGTTTAGTTTCTGGGCAGAGATGCACTTCATAGCATCTTCGGCGTGAAATTGCAGCTCTCATACGAAAGCACCTGCGGAATGCATGCTGTGGGGTTCCAGATAAACCCGTAACTAACAAAACACTTGCCCAGGCCTTTCACTGCAGAATCGCGTCTGTTCTTCACATTTCCGCTTGATTGCTTTCCTTATCGTGCGGTTATTGTAATTCCCCATACGCCTCTGCTTAAATTGGATGGAGTTTGTGTATGTGGTGATGAAGTTATGGGAATGATAAGAGCTCCGCCTGAAACAGGCGACTGGCAGCCTGGATATAAGGTGTGAATTGCCTGCTCAGGGTAACTCATTGGCTGATTGCCATTGGTGATTAAACATTCAGAAATGCTGCTCGTCCCTCATCGCAGCATCGTGAGGAAGTGGGTGACATGCAGTGAATTTGCATCTCTATATTGCCCATAGTGTGTGTGTGTGTGTGTGTGTGTGTGTGTGCAGATCTCGTAGAGAGTGTACCCCTCTTTGTACCTGTCTGCAGGGACGGATTATGGGTTGTGTGGGCCCCTGGGCAAAACGCCGTCCCTCCATGTTTCCATCAGAGGCCCTATAGGGTCAGGGGCCCTTGTAGGCAGAGGATCAAAGAATGTAGGTGGGAAATGTTTAAAATGTATGCCTTGATTACTCTGGAATTCTTTAGTCCACGATGTTGCAACTTGGACAACCAGATCAAGTAAATTATCTCAAATCCAATGGTATGTGATTCATATCTGCACATTTTACCTAGCCAGAGCTACGAGACTGAGATTAATGGGTGCGAAAATTAACACATTTTGTGTTTGTCGGGTTCTAAGGATTAAATGGCTTATCTTCGTTCACTTGCATTTAACACAGACTACCTTAAATTTGAAGTTGCCTAAAATTGTCTGCTTAATCAAGAAATCCTTCTTAATGAAACGGACCCCAGTTCTAGCCCGGTTAATTATTAGTTATTGTTAGCAGTATCAGTGGATAACAACATATTACACGGTATTTTGCGCAGCTACACATCCACAGATAGCAGTTAGACAGTAGTGTGTATACAACTGATTTAATGAGCCAAAAATAAGATGTAAGTGCTGATAAACAGCACAGTACTACAGCTTTAACTTCTGTTGATAAAGGGTGCAGCCATCTTGAACTCTGAGACCGGGGTTGTGTCAATTCCTCCGAGTTCACGAGTCGGAATTCTGACTTGAGGGAGCGTTCCAGTTGAAATTTCCGACTAGAAACTCAGAATTTCCGAGTTACGAGTTCAAATGGAACACAGCATATGAATGGATGTCTCTTCCACTCATCTAGTTTGCATTCCTTGTCCGTTGTAATTCAGTCCTATCATAGTAACTTTACTGTTCTCACTGCTCTGTGGTACTCTGCATTTAATCACCTACCTGTCTCTGTACTCCGCTAAAGCTCACAGGCAAGTATTTCATAAGTGCGCTACTTAAGAACGGTTAACGATTATAATTCAGACTGAGCAAAGTTTCTCAAATATGGTTCTGACCCTCGCGTGACAAGCCGCAATACATAATGGTTTTAGTCGATATAGGGTACAGCTTCTGTACAGTACATTTAGGTTTGCCTCGCTCTGCATTTGTAGTGCACTATATAGTGGATGAAATTACAGTTGCACTACAAAATGGCCGACTCCTGCTATAGTGGATTATACTGTATAGTGGGTGAGTGGACATTTTGAGCCTATGTTTTTATTTGCCTCCAATTTCTGTTTGATCACCCTCCTTGTCCTTGTGTTCTGGCTGGTTACCTTCCCTGGCCCTGTACTCTGTATTTGATTGCTTTTCCTACACCATACTTCAGTTTGCTTCACTTCCCTTCTCCCTTTTAGTCTGTGTTTTAATTGCTTTACCTGCCTCTGTTCTCTGTGCTTGATTGCTTTCCTGACCCTGTAGTCTCTGTTTGATTTCTTTCTGTGCCTCTGTTCTCTATGTTTGATGTCCTTCCGTGCCTCTGTGTCTGTTTGACTGTATTTTAACAGTAACAAAAAAAAAAAATAATAATAATAATAAAACAAAAGTGCCACATCTAAACACAAGTCTTGCTGCAGAAGCTCACATCAAGACCCTTAATATGATGCAGGATGCTGACAGGGGATTGGCTGTCCCTCTTAAACATGTTTTTCTAATTATCCTTTAGTCACAAGCCATGTAAGCAGCTGAATGTCCAAGGACCAGGCAGCCCTTCATTAACATAAGAGCTGGGTTATGTGTTAACAGTATAAGTGTCATTATTCACTCCTGGAAGTAGCCTCCGTCGAGCAATAACACAATTGTGTTGCAGGTGAACGAAGGTGTGCAATGTAGCCATGGTGGGCGTGGATTCCAAAAGCAGGGGGCTCATTTACATTCCGGAGCTGAGACACTCTGAGCCAATCCTGACATAGATTGCACATGTGCATGTTCATGATACGCTAATGAGTCTGGATACCATGCCCGTTAACTAACCCTGTGTGGACAATCAGAAGTTCCTCCCGACTGAAAAGATATGTTGCTTTATGTTGCCTTCCATTACGTATCGATAGGAGGACATGGACCACAACTACTACACGTCCAAGACCTATGGGCCCAACGACCCCCTGAGCAAGGAGCTGTGGGTGAACATCGAACAGATGGACAAGGAGAAGGTGAAGATCCATGGAATCCTGTCGAACACCCACAGGCAGGCTGCGGTAAGCCCTCCCTCCACCGAGGCATTATCATTCCTGGGGGGATGATTCTGGTTTTATTGGCCCGGGTGTCCTTACGATTAATTTCAGAGCCTCCTTGTGTCACTATTGGGTTCTTCTTAGTCCCCTTACCTGGTGTTGCCGGCATAAACCTGTCACCGATTGAAAGGCTGCCTTTGGCACTCGGGCTCTACTTGACATACCTTACTTTGCGTCTGATGTCCGTAACTCATTCTGTTTAGTACTTTCAGTGCCAAAGATGTGGCAGATGTTTTATCACGCTCTAACCTTAGAGCAGCAGGACAGATTTATGTAAACGGAGCTGCTAGTTCCACTTTCTGTTTGTGGCATGTTCTGGTCTGAAGCGGTCTCTGTGGCTGGTTATTACCATGAATCCCTGGTCTGCCATTGACTTCCTGGCCTGACTGTGTCTACCATGGATACTGGAGCCAGTTTTATTGCATATCTGGCACCTGCACCAGGTATTTGGTATTCTTGTTTGGTTGGGAGCTGAGAGGGAGCCCAAATGTGGCCTTTCTGGGGGTCCCTGAGAACTGGGTTGAGAATCACTGAATTAGGGCAAGAATTATGTCAAGAATAAGGAAGGAGTGGGAGGGGTAGGGGTACTGAGACCATCGGGTGCCTAAGTGTTTGTCAGAAAGTGATGGACACAGTGAGTGGCTTCCATTCATCTTTAAAGTGATGAGAAATACATTTATCTGGCCCTCTCTGTCACCAGCCCATTCAGCAAAGTCCACATCTCCTCCAGCTCATCTCAATGGGCTTTTCGGGTCAGCAAGAGCTTGGATGAATGGAGAGAAGGTGATGCTGGCTGGCCACTTTCCGTAGGGTAGCTGTGAAATGTCCCCCTCGGCGGATGGGCCAAGGTTTTTGGAGGTATCTGTGAGGAGGAAGTGGTCAGGCCCCAGGCTGCCCCCCCCCCCCCCCCACACGCTAGGGTGCAGCTTCTCAAGCTGACGTCATTCACACATGACTGCCTTGCTGACTGCAGAGGGGGAAAAAGAAATTACTGGAAGTGTGAGTCACTTAAGGGCTTAAAGGAACAGTGATAGAATGTACTGGAAGCACTATGGGGGAATGTAATTCTCCATTCAGGGAAAACCACACAGGTCAGTTCAGCCAAACAGCCTTGGAACAGTAGGTCAAGCATACAGATTTACTGTGGTTCACTGCTGGAGTAACCTTAGTCTCTGTGCTTCGCTCATTTTACGGTATCAATCTGGCTTTGAGGTCTGCATTGTGACTCCCAAGTATTTTTTAACTGCTCGCACATTTTTTATGGCTAATCAATACCTCATTGAGTACCTCATTACCTCAATACCCTATTAATCAATACCTCATATGTCATTTAACCAATTAAGCTAATTAATTAATTGAGCTGGTGGTGAAATTTAACGAACACATGGAATGGCTGAGGTGCCCCTGAGGTGAGGTTTGCGAACTGAGGCGGTGTTCATCTAGGCATCCAGCGAGATATCAGTAAGTTTTTTGACAACAGAAGAATTTCATATTGATATCTTTATTGTGTTACTATTAATTAGCACTTGTTATAATGTTAAATGTTTTTTTATGAGTAAATATGCGTTTGCTGCCCAGATAAATAGGCTTAAACATGTTTCTTGACTGCCTAAAACTTTTGCACAGGTGTTTGGCTCAGTGGGTTAGACTGCTGTGTTAAATCCAGTTCAAATCCTAGGGTCTGCAGAGTGATGTCAGTATTGGGTCCCTGAGGAAGACCCTTAATCCCATTTGCTTCAGGGACTGTCTGCTGTCTCAGCTTTGGATAACAGCAGTAAAAAAAAAAATGCAAAAAAAATACACACACATACATACATATATCTACTGTATACGCATGATTCTATACTGCAAGATTTGTCTTTAGTGTTTGTATATATTGCTGAACTATGGGATGTCTTTCGAAGGCTTATATCCACTTCAGCACATTATCCCCAGCTGAGGGCTTTCCAGGTGATAATCAGCCCTTAATGTTATTATTGCAACGGATGGGAACGTATAATGTCTGCAGTTTATGAATGCGCTTTATGAATCTTCTCACTTTTTATGTCCTGCGTTTCACGCATTTCAGAATCACGGCCTTTACTCCCCCTCATGATCGGTCTGTAATTCTGAGTTTGAAGGGAGGGGGGAGCAGCTTTTAACTCCCTAATGGGTGGTCAAGAAGGTTCAGGCCTGTCATCTGCACCTGATACCTTATAGATGAAGATTAAATTGCTTCTGAACTTATCAAGAGTCATAAAATCGGTATTAAAAGCCATAGTCCTCTCCCTGGAGGCCTTTTTTCTGCATGGTGAGATATTTGCTGTCCATATGACAGTGAAAATCGTTAGCTAACAATTAGCTGAGGCCAGCCATGTACCTATTTTGGACGGAGGTGGAGCGGATCTTGGCTCCAGTTCATGCACGTGTCTGTGCGTCCATGTAGCCTGTTACCTCTGTTGCCGTCACCTTCTAAGTAATTTTAGGCATATTAATAGATGTTCCAGCTGCAACTGTAGTTGCACACATTAGCAGTAACAGCAGAAGATAGAGGAGGATAAGAAATTTCTCGACTAGCAGTAACAGCAGTAGCTGTATTGGTGATATTAATATTATCAGTAGTAGAATCAGTACCAGTGACAGTAATAGTATTGCTGTCGGACATAGTAACAATAGCAGAAATTCCTGCAGTATTAGTAATTATAGCAGAAACAAACTAGTAGTATCAACAGCTATAAAAGTATTATTGTCAATATTGGTAACAGAAATACTTTCAGTATTGTTGGTACTGTCAGTATCAGTAACAACAGTATTTCAGAATTAGTAAAAGTCAGTAGCAGTAACAGTATCAGTATCACTGTCAGTATAAGTAGTAACAGTAACAATATCTGTAGTACTGTCCATAACAGTAGTTTTAAAAGTAGTACTATCGGCATCAGTAGCAGCAATGGTAGCAATATCAGTATCAGTATTACTGTGAGTAATAGTAGCTGCAACTGTAGCAGTGTTGGTGTCAATTACAGTTGCACTGTAGGCATCAGCAGCCATAACAACAGTACTGTCGATATCAGTAAGTGTCACAGTCACAGCTAATAGCATTCACAGCAGCAGCACTGCGTGCATTATTAAAACAGCTGCTCCCCATCGGACTGCAGCACGAGTGGCATCTCTGCTGGGCGTTCCTGGCTCTGACTGGCACTGACTGGCACTGACTCTCTGTCTCTGACTCTCCCCTGCAGAGGGTGAACCTGTCCTTTGACTTCCCCTTTTACGGGCATCTTCTGCGCGAGATCACCGTGGCAACCGGAGGTAAGGGGCTCGACTGAGGGATACTGGGAACAAACGTGGATCGGAGTGCGTGATGGGGCGGGGATGGGGGATGATGCTGTGCAGATTCCTGCTTGTTGAAGTTGCAGTGATAGTGAGTGATGAATTGTTGCAGTGACCATATCTGGGAAGTTATTACGGGTGTAAATAAAGTGAGGTATAAATAATTCTAAGGTATAAATGAAGTATAAATAAACCTGACAGAGGTATGGCCGTTAGGTGGGTGGGGGGTGTTTGCAGACATTTATCCTGCTTATAGCGTCTGTCTCTGGGTGCTGGGATGTGTGACTTAAGCTGCCCAAGTGAAATAATTGTGGGTATAAACCTCTTCTTGGGCATTGACTACAGTACAAGACCACTGACAGCCCACAGCATGCGTGGAAGTGTTGAGCTCTGGGGGCAGGGGGCCACAAAACGAGGACGAAGCACAAGATTGTCAGACACCCCTGATTCCCACAGTTTTTTTCCCGACCTACCAGGAATGACAGAGCGGGAGGATGAGTTTCGAGTGTGTGTGTGTGGTATACAAGCGGACGGATTTGCCAGCCAATATTTCTGGACTGAGAGAACAGTTTTACAAAGGGCAAGGGAGTGTAACGGCATCGTAAGTCCCACTGGGGTGAGGAGGCAGTGTGCCTCGTCTGGGCTTCACCTCAGCTTATTATCATGCTGGACTTTAAATCGATAAAACCTGTGTTTTTGCCCTCTGTTACTGGGCTGTATTGGCCATCTGCTTCTAGCAGAACGGCAGCACCTCATGGCACGGGAAGGTGGGTCATTCACAGTTGTGTTTTTTAAATCCAGGTGTTTGGTACATTCCTGAAATACAAAGGATGGCCATGAGACAAACCTAAATTCCTGCTTTGGCTTTTAGCCAATTAACCACACACACTTCAATTGATTCTCTTTTCCCCCCCACAAAGTATCTTAACAGAGCTGACCTTTCCCTCAGGGGGAGTTGAGCTGTTCTGCACCTTCGCCTCTGATAAAACTGGAGTTTTTCAAACCTGGTTTGACATTTAGCGTTTAAGGTACGCGATGTAACACTAGATGCTGCAGGTGAATACCCATAATGGGCCATTAAGCATTTTAGTTTCACCGCTCGAGAGAGTTTAACATGGAAAATAGGCTGGAACAAACCCAGGACTTGACAAGAAGCAAGTTGGGGAAAGTTGACAGAAGATATTCCTCTGTATTCCTCTGTATTCCTCTGTCCACTTCTGTATTCGGTAGCATTTTCTGGACCCCCCCCCCCCCCAAAATCCGGGAGGCCCCCTTTGAGCACAGCTCAATGGCTGCTTCATAAAAATGTGCTTTAGCTTTGTGATTTTTACACCTCGTTGACTCTACAGCCATGGCGAGATCACACCAGAGATCGATAGTCTGTTAATGAACAGAGAGAGAGACCGCCGAAAGAGGCCATGGGGTTTGTGACCAAGAGGTTCTCAGGAGTCCCGGAAAAGACACCGTTGTTGTGCCTTTGAGATGGATTGTATCCTGAATGTACAAGCAGTTGGGGTTTCACAGCATGAATGAAAGTGTCTGTTAAACAGTAAATTGATGAAGTATACAAGAGGCTTTTGGCTTCAACCACAAGTGCCTCAAAGCACTCCGAGGCTCGGTGGGAAGAGAGTAATGATGCCTTTGGACACCATCGGCAATGCGGATTCCTCTGACTGAGAGGCGCCTCTCCTAGCAACCTCCTCCTTCCAGTCCAATCACGCAGAAGGGCTGAGTGTTCAAGATGGAACAGGGGCTGCCTTGCACACAGTGAGGCGGGCGGGTACCTCAAGGGAGCATAGCCAATCAGGAAAATTGCTTTCTGAGGAGCCAATCACCTGCTTCTCATTCTGCATGTATTTTTTATTGTTTTCCTCTGCTTGCTATCCTCAACGTATGGCTTGGTAACTCTAGGTAGTCTTCCGTTTGACCCCATTATTATGGGCTTACCTCTGTTTTTGGCTACCGGAATGTTCCTGGTCCGCTGTCTGTCTGGGACCTTAATGTGAATTTCTTCTACATATCTGGTATTGGATAAAAACTAGTAAACTATATGTAACTCAACCTTCCAACTACTCGTCCAGTGCATAGTTGTGGGGGCCCTTAGAGATTATCTCGGACAGCATTGGGCACAGCAGGGGACTCGCTGTTTGGGATACTTGACAAAAATGCCTTGATTATATCCCTTTATTAACTGCCAAAACGACAAAGACAAAAACAAAATCGACTGTACGACACTAAGAATCTTCCCTGACTTTATTTTTCCAGCATGTAAGCAAACAACATCTGGAGCCTGGCTCTCTCCTGAGCCCCCAGTGGTTCTGATCACTGAGAAGGTAGTTTCTGATTCTGATCCATTCTGGTCATGTCCTACCCTCGGATGGAGAGACCGTACACTTAATGAATGAGGTTGCTTCCAGCGAGGCATACTGCTCTAAGGGGTATTGAGCGCCTGCCTGTTATCCTTAGTGCTGTCGGACGACTGCCACTGTCTTCATCATCGCTGCAGTTAGTCGGCAGTCAGCGTGGCTGGGGAATCCAACGGGAACGCCGGGATCACGCACGCTTCGCGTGGCTCTTCCTCTTTCTCGGTGTGTGTGCGTTCATGTGTGCGTGTGAGACGTTGATTCTCGTGCGTTTACATGCACTTGCCTGTCCTTGTCTATGCACGTTCGAGATGCCGGGAGAGATGGATACGGCCGAAAGAGACAGGTGGGCTGGTGGGGGAGGTCGATAAAGAGGGAGAAACAGACGGACAGGGAGAGCAAAAGAGAGACAGGGAGCAGGAATTGATGGAATGCGCAGATTCCGTGTTGGGAGCCATTTCTGGATGGGACGTCCAGCCTGCCTCACAGTCAGATCATTACCGCCAAGTGGGGGCTGGCCCACTCCCGTCTGCTCCACGCTTGACAGGCACCAGTTCCTACCCCTCCGTCAATGTTAGAGTATCTCTGCTGAGCCAATTCTCTTCCTCTCTCGTTAAATACATTGGAGCTCCCTGCCAGAGTGACTTGTGACGATGACGCATCGGTCAGTAATGCATCTGTATGTGATTACCAATAAAATAAGCCCTTGCTTGAAGCATACGACCTCCCCCCCCATCCCGAAGGAGGTGCCCTAGCGACCGTTCAGTCACAAGTTTAATCCCCTGAAGTTGAAACTTTATTTCCTATTTGCGAAAAGAACAAGTACATTGGAATATGTTTTTTTTTCTTTTTTTATATATCCCACCTTGCGCTCCGTTTTTATGACACACACATATTGAGGTGAAAGTCGAACTCGGAGTAGACTATAACACAATAAGACTCTCAGCAATTAGCACTGCAGCCGCTTCACATGCTGGAACTTTTTTTGGGGGGATTCTGTACAGTTTTCCGGTGTGTCTATTTGTATAGGAGTATGTGCATTGGAGGGACAGATTAGGTCCATGAGCATCTGCCGTGGAGGGCTGACCAATCTGCATCCCTGATGAGCTGGAGAAACGATCAGATTCATGGAGGTCATTATGGCCTGCAGGGTCCTGTCTGACATTTTCTTTACATCTCCCTGACTTAATAGCCATCTCGTTGTGTTACCCTGTGTCACCGAGCTAAGTCCCTCAGATCTTTAAAGTAGGTCCAGGTGGGACAATAAGCTGAATCTCATGGCATGGAGGAAGAATGAGGATTTCTTTCAGGGCTGGAAGTGGAGATAGAGAAGGACAAAAGCAGAGGGTGACCATTTTGTTGTCAGCACGAGAGGAGATACAAAAAATTAGCATTGGGTAAAGGAAAGGGCTACAATGTTGTACCAGAAGTTACCACGGTATACCATTGGCTATGGGCTCTGATGTCAGGGTCTGCGAAGAAGCATAGTAATCCACTTATATAAATGATTATATCACAAATGAAAAGGATAAATAGATTTGATGCCCGACATCTCCTTGCTCCAGGGCATCCAAAGCCCTGCAGCAGAAATATGAAGCACAATATTTATATATTGGTCGTCCCATCCAGAAATGGCTCCCAACATGGAATCTTTGCATTCCATATATATATATATATATCTTAGGTGGACGTTCACGGTTTGACTTCTGAGATTCAGATCGAGTACTAGGTAATTTTTTTCCGAACTGGTTGGTTCGACTTTTAAGAAATTCGAGTTCCAATGAGTTCGAGAACTGAGGTACTACTGTGTGTGTGTGTGTGTGTGTGTGTGTGCGTGTGTGTGTGTGTGTGTGTTCGAGAACTGAGGTACTACTGTGTGTGTGTGTGTGTGTGTGTGTGTGCGTGTGTGTGTGTGTGTGTGTTCGAGAACTGAGGTACTACTGTGTGTGTGTGTGTG